TCTTTAAAAAAAAATAAAATAAAAACTGGAAATAGTAATGGGCTTCCCCTAATGTTGCCACAAAAATGAAGAACTGAATCAAGGCACTTATCACTGCTTTTCATACTGAAAGGAAAGGAAGCATTGAATGCGGAATATACCACARCATCACTACACTCTAAACTTCCATCAACATCCAACAAAATTAAGTGTTAGATGATTTGATTTAAATTACCCTCCTCTTCTGAGATGTTATACACACACACATACACACCCATATACACATACATATGTGTATATATATGGCATTTGAGGGCATGTGTGTGTATATATATATATATATATATATATATATATATATTCTCAAAATTTGTTAAGAATGATCCACCTTATATAAGAAATATTTGGATCCAGATTTTTTACAATACATAAAAATGGCTATTTTAAAAGCACTCTGAAAGATATATAAAAAAAAGAGAGATCAGACTCAGGGATCACTTCCCTAGTACTCTTTTAAAAACAGAATAGTTTTACTGCTTCTTCTCCCACTGGGCAGTGCTCAGGAGGGCACTGTCTGGGTCCCTGCTGTGCCTATCACCTGGCATAGTAATATTACAGAGGAGAGGCACAATGAATTCGATTTGTCTTTAAGCAGTTTCAACGTGATTTGCAAAGTCAATGTAAAAGCTTGTTTCCCTGAGTGACACCATAGTCTGCATCGATTGAGGATGAAATGACATTCCAAAGGAAAAGAAATCAACAGCTCTATTGTTCTTTTTTTCCTTGTTGTTGCATAATAAAACCTGAGCTGAATGAAAAAGTCATTGCTTCACAGATAAAAGGCAGATTAGAGGGTTTGAATAATCAATGTGGAATTGACTTTGGGATAAGATGCAAGCAAGCTGGCTCTGAAGAAAGAAAGTGATACAAAAAACACACACTGGTCCGGAGACATCCAAGAATAATGGCTGATCTGGGGAAAGACTGCTCTGAGCCCAGGGTTTAAAATCAGATTAACACAGCTCTGCCCAATTAAACAACAAAGATTGCCTTACACACTACACATTTAAACTTCCCATTTGAGTGTTTCAAATAAAATGTCCAACYTGGAATTATGATTAGCAAATGCCTGATGGTGGAGAAGACCAGTCTCTTGGAGCAGAGGTCTTCCAAAGAAATGCAGGGCAGGAAAAAGTGAGTGGAAATATCAAGGTTCATTTAACACCAACTTTGAGATGGTCTATAACAAAACAGCTAAATTATGGTACAAAATTAATAATGGCAAAAAAAGTTCTTTTAATGAGAATGAGCTCATGTTTCCAAGTGTCAAATTATTCATCCTACTTTCCAGCCTAGATAAGCAAGTGAATATTCTTGTTTCTATTTTATGCTTATAAATATCATTTCTCCAAATGGCATGTGCAGTTCATTTACTCTTTCATTTAAAATTTTGTAAAAAAAAAAAAATCTATTCCAGATGATACACTCATGTAAGGGGTCTACAGAAATTAAGACACCAGAGCTAAATGTCATAAATAATCCATTCATGGCTACTACCCATGAGGAGTCTTTGGCTCAGGGGAAAGACAGACACCAACCTGGCATTTATGACATGGTGTGGGAAATTCTGTGACTGGGACAGCACAGGATGCCATGGGAACCCTAGCAGAGGTGACAGGGCCAGTCAGGTAAGATTCCCAAAGAAGTGAGATGCTGAGTCCAGAAAGACCAGTAGCTGGAACAAGAACAGTCCTGTCTTTCCTCATGAGATTATCATTTCCTCATCAGACTACTATTTCCAGTAGGAATTCTCCCTAAAGAATTTCAAATCCACCTGTCCTCCTTTTAAAGATCTATTAAAATTTCAAAGGGTGGTTGCCTGTAGGTTAACCATGAGTGTGCATCTGCCCAGCCAAGCAAGCCCTCCAAGGACTATGGGGAAGACTTCATGACTGGTTTGTTGACTAGTAGAATTCAGAGTAATATTCTTTTCCTCTTCATTTAGTCAGTAAATTAACAAATGACTAAAGTTCTATTTGATGGATCCACTATTTATTCACATTATGAAAGATGCTATCCCATGAATGAATCWAACAAGACTTTTATTCCAAGTCCTAGCAAAATACTAGTAAGAATAGATGTTTCATATATTCCTTTTTAAATATTTATTTATGAATGAATGATGGGGATTGAACTCAGAGGTGCTTTACCATTGAGCCACATCCCCAGAACTTTTTATTTTCTATTTCGAGACAAGTTTTCACTAAGTTTCTTAGGGCCTCACTATGTTGCTGAGGCTGGCCTCGAACTTGTGATCCTCCTGCCTCAGCCTTCTGAGTTTCTGGGATTTCAGGCATGCACCACCATACCCAGCAAATATTCCTTTCTTTTTTATCTTTTTTTTTAATATTTATTTTTAGTTGTAGTTGGACACAATGCCTTTATTTTATTTATTTATTTTTATGTGATGTTGAGGATCGAACTCAGGACCTCTCATCTGCTAAGTGAGAGCTCTATTACTAAGGCACAACCCCAGCCTCCTTTTTTTAAAACATTAAACTTGTATTTTTCTTTCCTATTCTATGTTCATTGGTAGGAAAATGGTGTATCAATTGTGATACAAGAACAGCTGGTACAATTCATTGATGGATTTCTTTGGATCTAAAAATATATTTAGATTTGGAAGCTGGGCACAGTGGCACATGCCTATAATCCCAGCAGCTCATCTGGGGAGGCTGAGGCAGGAGAATCTCGAGTTCAAAGCCAGCCTCAGAAACTTAGCAAGGCCCTAAGCAAATCAGCGAGACCCTATCTCTAAATAAAATATAAAAAAGGGTTGGTGATGTGGCTCAGTGGTTAAGCACCCCTGGGTTCAATCCCTGGTACCATATTCATTCATTCATATCATAAAAATATGAATGGTTTGGAAAGATGCCCACACCTTTTTTTTTTCAAATAGGGAAACATGTTCCAAGCAATAAAACAATAGTCCAAGTTTATTGTTAAAAAGAAAAGGTAAAAAATATGCACTTCTATATGCACAGCTACATAGTTAAAAAATACAGAAGAATCAGTAGTGGTTAAATTCAGACAGTTTTTATCATAAAATTCTGTATTATTTCTATTTGTTATTATTTGTTTACTATGAGTATAGATTACTTTTATAATTTTAATGAGAGATTATGATACTTTAGAAATGTTTTTTCTATTAAAACAAATTAAAAATTATTTATGAGACGGGTGCAGTGGCTCACACCTGTAATGCCAATGGCTCAGGAGACTGAGACAGGAAGATCAAGAATTCAAAGTCAGCCTCAGCAACAACAGTGAGGTGCTAAGCAACGTAGCAAGACCCTGTCTCTAAATAAAATACAAAATAGGGCTGGGGATGCAGCTCAATGGTTGAGTGTCCCTGAGTTCAATCCCCAGTAGCTCCCCCCCCAAAAAAAAAAGAAAGAAAAGAAAAATTATTATGAAATGCTATTAAACTTCTATATTTTCATAGTGATAAATGCTAAATGAAGTCATAATAAGATACGGTCAACTTAAAATTACATTCACCATAATTTTTTCTGAACATTCTTTATGTCATTTTAAAGTAACATTATCATAAGGTCCATATACATAACAGGACATCTCAATTCACATGAAGACACAAAATATGCTTCGATCTGGAAAATTCTAGGTCTAACATAAATAAAATACGAAAGAGAAGAAAGTAAAGTCCAATTGTTCAAATTCCTCGTTTCCCACCAAAAAGAAAAAGAAAAAAAGCCAACCTGATTTGTCTTCTGTGTCATCAAAGTCAACGCTGAAGGAGTGGCCACTATTACTGATGATTTTAGCTGAGCTGGGATCATACTTGATACTAAGAGGTCGGAGTGAAGAGTCATATTTTACTTCTTTGGTTTTAATCTCAATTGGAGATTGCTGATCACCATCAGCAATGGGGAAAAATTCATTCCAGTGAATAGGACCTTAAATATAAAAATACAAAAGAAAAGGACWAAGTTAAGTTCTTTCATTCAATAAACATTTGTTAAGTGCAATGCAATATGTCTGAGATTGAACAATTAATAATATCCTCATTCTCAGGAATTTAGCATCTAATTTTTAACACAAGATTATTTTTTAATGGGTTTGGAAAACACCTGGTTTGCCTAAAGTCCTTTCCAGAATCAATTACCCTTTGTACATAAAAGAACATGTAAATTTTTTTAAAGTATTTTCCAAAGGTACTCATAAATCAAACTAAAAACAACAGTACAATTCACCACTGAAAACAAAGAGATTCAGTCTTAGATTCAAGAATGTGCTCTGGTTGCTCCAGACGTCAACAAGTTTACAAAGTGAAAAGAGTAAAAGTTGCTGAGAAATCTAAGCAAAAAAGGAAAGGGTGTCATCCTCAAGAATTTTCTTCATTTTCTTCTTTTTTCTACCACTTGCTGGTATATTTTAGTATCATCCAGGTCTCAGCTCAACTAGCTGTAATATGCAACAAGCAGACTAAGAACCTACATAATCTTTCATATATAATAATCCCAATAAAATGGCTGTACCCATGTCAGGAAATACCGTATTGTTGGTTATCTGCAATAGAGTCAGGTCACAGTTTATTTCTCTTTTTCACACTTCAGAAGGTCCCTCAGGGGTTTCTTTGCCAATGCTACATTTTTAATTCCAATACAAGGGACAACTGTCATCCTGATCCTCTATTGAAAAAGTCAAAATTGCATCAAGTTTACAAATCAAATATTCATAGGTACATTGAAGTAAGTTGGTAAACCAGCTGTTCCCTTRTCTATCCTCTTTATTTCTCTGGGAGATTCCAATCAAGTTCTGACCCTCGAAATCAACATCCAAGTTGCAGCTCACATAAGCTCTAAGTCATTCTACAGATGTGAGTCACTGTACAGGTCACAGGCTCTTATTTTCTCCTCTCTGCTATGAATGCAATTTACTCACCAGGTAAATAGGGCATAGGACTACTGACTAAGCTTTTCTCTACTTTGCTAACAACTTTTTCTCTAGAAATCAAGTACTGATTGAAACAAAATAGCATGACAGTTATTAGATATTTGTTACAAAAATTATCTTTAAATGATAAAACTTCAGAGTGAGATTTAAAGGAACGCAATATATCATAATCATCAACAGTTTGAACCAGTAAAACTAATGTTGCTTTTTACTGTTTATTATTGCGAAGGAGAAAGCATATATTATTTCTTTCACATATACTTCAGGTACAAAAATGTCAGAGCATAAATACATACCTAAACATGACTAAACACTGAAGAGCTGCCTGACACTTGGGACTTCAAAGCAACTTGAGCATTTGAAAGTCCTTCTATAATATTACAGAAAAGGCATATATTTCCTTATTTATTAAACACTTCTATTTACTTTTCTGAGTACTCTTTCTGTACACAATATCATCCTCTTTTTTTTTTTGAAATTTTAATATTTATTTTTTAGTTCTTGGCGGACACAACATCTTTGTTGGTATGTGGTGCTGAGGATCAAACCCAGGCCGCACGCATTCCAGGCGAGCGCGCTACCGCTTGAGCCACATCCCCAGCCCTCATCCTCTTTTTTAATGCAGASGGAGCTTTCTATTTTCACTACCAGTAAGGTTGAGTTAACCCAACGAGAATCAGATCGCAAACATGCAATGCAAGTGTCACAACATGCTGTTGTCTCTTTTTACAATCAGCAAGGAGCTTTTCTCTCAATTCCTTTCCTCTCCTATTTCTAATCTTTTATAACTAAAGCCATTTTTAGAAGAGTCAAACCAAAATAAAATAAAACTATGGCGTCAAATATCCAATATTCACTGGGCATGGTGGATCGTGCCTGTAATCCCAGCAGCTCAGGAGGCTGAAGCAGGAGAATCACAAGTTTGAGGCCAGCCTCAGCACCTTAGCGATGCCTTAAGCAACTTAGCAAGACCCTGACTCAAAATAAAAAATAAAAAGTACTGAGGAGGGCTGGGGTTGTGGCTCAGTGGTAGAGTACCTGCCTTGCACATGTGAGGCACTAGGTTTGATCCTCAGCACCACATAAAAATAAATAAATAAATAAATAAATAAATAAATAAATAAATAAATAAATTGTGTCCATCTGCAACTAAAAAAAATATATTTTTAAAAAAAGTGCTGAGGATGTGACTTAGTGATTAGGCACCATATCCAGCATAATCTATTAACTAGCATTGTTGGTTCATTTCCCTGACTTAAGACTCCTAATGTCCCATCTTATCAAATCTGCTATTCCCAGTTTAAGTTTCCTTAAGTCTCCTCAAATCACTGGTTTTGCCAATGTCTTAACATAAAAAAAAAAAAAAAGGTAACAAAATTTGCCTAGTCAGGATTCAAAACATGTCCTGAGGTATTCGGCCAAATTAATCTACTTAAGGGTGTGGTTCTCAGAAAACCACTGCACCTAAAAGACAGGAATGGCCAAAAAAAATGCTAGCTAAAATACAAAGTCATTTCATGTTAATGCCTTCACTGAGATGAATTTTCTAAATTTCTGAAAATGAGCTTCATTAGAGACAAAATTTTCTAATCTTAAAGTATAGCCAATACCCATTGATTGAAATACCCTTTTTCCAAATCACAGTGTGGGCACTTTTGCCACTTACTATTAAGCAATGATAACAATGATTCAAGCAGACAGATGAAAAGAAATTCGTTTTGTGAGGTTTGTTTTTTCAAAACATAAATTAGAAATTAGCAAGATGCAAGATTATAATTATGGCCTCAGTCGAAAATAAATCTGCCTAAATTTTATCTTTCATTATTAGAATTCTATATCTGCTTCCATTTTGAGGCTCATATTTCAATATTCATAACCTCAAGCTATGGTTTGAAATGAAACTTTTCTGTTTCTTTATGAAAGCAACTTTCTAGAAAAGTTATTCTTCAGTACTGTTCAATAATGTGCATGTTAATCAAAGTTTTATTATTCATAGCCCTCATTTTGACACTCATCTACTGTAAGGTTTTCTTGATGTCATTTTTGCAGTTACTTGGAAAAATTATTGCTTGAAACAATCAGTTCAGTTTAACATACAAACAAGAAAAATGTTTGACTTCTGATAGTTTAGGATATGTAAGAAGAAAAGTGGCCTGGACCAATGGACCATGCCGGTAACGCCAGCTATTTGGGAGGTTGAGGCAGAAGGAGGATGACAGGTTCAAGGCCAGCCTGGGCAATAGAAGAGGCCAGGTCTCAAGTAAAAAGGGCTGAGGATGAAGCTCAATGGTAGAGGGCGCCCCTGGGTTCAATTGCGAGTACCGCACGCACCAGCACCATTAATTATCATTATCGCTCTTATCAATTAATAAATTTTATCACTGTATTATAACTCCAATAATGCTAATCCTCAGTCTCTGCAAGGATGAGTGTGGAAGGAGAGGCAGAAAGAATGGAGAAAAGCCCGAAGTATAACTTCATTTCCCAGAAAGAATTTGAAGCCTCATTACAGAATCCAAAAGTAGCAGTCAACCAACTGATCATTGCTGTGGCAATATTTTATAGTAACAGCCAAGAAGTCAACTTAATCTTCAGTGTCAACATGCAAGTTATTAAAATTTCTTAAGGAGCTTTTCAAAGATTTTCCATGATTTGTTTCTACTAAGTGAACAGCTTAAAGACCGAAAGCGAACTTGTCCTCATTTCACTCTGACTTCTAATCTCCAAGCCTTAATTGATAAGTGGTTATTACTAGGGAAGTTCTCGGCTTTTCAAATCAATGAATATATATATATATATATATATATATATATATATATATATATATATATATACAATTAATATATATGAAGAGTTGGGATCTGGGGACTTCTGACAAAGTCCCCAGTGTTGGACTCCCCAACACTCCCCACAACCAACGCCCGCCAAAGACGCTTTCCCGTCTACACGGGACGAAATCTGCCCTCCGCTTCCTGCTTTGGGCTGCAGGGAGCGCCGCTCAGTTTAAAGAGGAACCTAAAAGTTTCTTGCAAGTGTGAGATCAGCGCGGGGGCATCCGCCGGCCCCACGGTGGTGCCCCGCGCAGAGCCCCCTCCCATCAGTGAAAAGCACTCACCGTTGTGTTCGCCGTATCCCCAGCTGAGCCTCGACATGATCCCTCAGGGTGGCAGGCTATGGAAGAAGTGGCTGGGCAGCGAGAGCAAGGAGGGTTGCTTGCGGGCGCGAGCGCCGACGCGGGCGGGACCCAGCCGAGGGCGGGACCGCGGGCGCCGAGCTCAGCAGTTGCAACCCTCGAACCCCAGGGTCTGGCGCTCGGATTTCGTCCTCCAGGGGGCGGTGGCGCAAGCAGGAAGGCGCCCAGCGCAGGAGCGTGAAGGGGAGTTGGCACAGCTTGGCTGCATCCTGGGGCACAGTCCCTGCTGCTCTTACTTTGGGCTCAGGAATGAGAAACTGGGTTAGGCATGGAGAAAGAGAAGTACCCGCCACCCACACACACAACACGCGTTTCCAGAGGGGATTTCCTGCCTTCTGGGAAGTCACCCCGTGGAAAGTTGCCTAGAGGCTATACTGGAAATGAATGACCCAGCCTGCATCTACCCAGCTGGGAGGTGGGCGTCCTGGTGGAAATGTGAACAGATTGGTGATCCCAATGGTGGTGGTGATTCCAAATACGCACACAAGAACGGTGGCAATAAGCACCGCTTTAAAATAGTTTTACTGCTGTTCACCCATGAAGAATCCTTGCTTCCCCGAATGCTGAAGTGTAACACCAGAGAGGCACCCAGAGGCAAGTTTAGAGTGGAAAGTGGAAGCTTTATTAAAGGACAGCAGAAAAGACTTCTCCCCAAGGAAGAAGGGGACCCTAAAGGCTGACTCCATGGAAGGGGGAAGTATTCCCTCCTTTATAGCTAAGGTCTTCTTTCAGCTTTCCCACACTCATGTCTTTTGTTTCCCTTTATCTTGCAGTGACAGAATGCAGGTGGGAAGGCCCAAAAGGTGGGAGATAGGTGGGCTGGAGGAGTAATGTAGGCGGCTCTTGATTAGCACCTCCCTGTTTGCTGGGAGCTGCTTCATTAACTTTTCCTTAGGATGGGCTCAGCTCCTGGCCTTGGGGACATTAACATTTCAATTTCCCCAAGTGCTGCTCAGCTTTCCTGGACTCCATTCTCTATAATGCCTCCATTTTATTTATCTTACTCAATATTAGACCTGATTTACCTAACTACACTAACTACCTATCTGTAAATCTGGCTTCAATAGCAACTACTATTTATTAAGGGATTACCATAGGGCAGGGTCTTAGCCACATTTTTTTTTCATTGAGATCCTTTTCAGCATTCCCTTGAGAAGATAATATACACGTCCCTAATTAGGAGAAAGGAAATGAGACTTAAAAATGCTAAGTGACCCATCCTGGTTCACCTAGCTAATAGGGGCAGGAGCTCCCTCAGGAAGAGGAATGGAGACCCCTGCCCCAGTCTGAGCTGGCTCCATCCCGACGCCTAGGGCTTACTCCTGCACCCTACAGGCCTATGATTGTAGGAGGAAACCCCTTGTTGACACTTAAATCCCTGAATTCTACTGCCCTTCCTAGGCCAAGAAGGGAGGTTTCCGACCATCTTTCTCTGGATGCCTGGCAGGCCTGCTGCCCTAGACAGAAGGCAGAACTAGCTGTGGATGTGGTGGGTGTTTTGAGTTGGCTCCCGGCAAAATACAGTGGTCAACTGTGTGACTTGCCAGGATTGTAATTACTGTTTTATTTGACTGAAGTTGAATTGAGGTCAATTTGAAATTTTCAATTGAACTGTGCAGTGTTATCTGTGGTCAGCTAATGTGAAGAGTTTCTTAATGGGCACAAGCCTTCTATTTTAAAAAAAAAGGTGACTGTTTTAAGTATCACTTCTTTATTTTATTTATTTACTTTTCTTTAATTTTTTCCCCTTACTATCCATACAGCTTCTACATGAGTAGGAATCCAATCTCCTGCTAATGGCTGCATTGTTTAAGTACCACTAAATTAAAATCCACTTAAACTATCCCTCTTTAGACCTGTTTTAAATATCCCTTACTGCAGCCTCTGTTTGTATAGTATTAAAGGCTAGACTGCAATAAAAGAAAAACTTTTTAATACAACATAAGAATAATAAACTTTAACCTTCTTTTAAAACCAGGGGAAGGCTCTYGCTTTTTTTGACATATTATCTGGTACAGTTGGATTCATTTATGCCATGAGTGTAGTAGAAGCCAAACTTTTAATAATGATTCTGATTTATATTTACTTTCATCACAGAATAATATATACAGATATCCCTCAGTATCTGTAGGGATTGATTCAGGACCCTCTTCTGACCCCAAAATGTGAGGGTGCTCAAACTGCAAAGTAGTTAAATACAACCTATGGGTATCCTTCTATACACTTTTTTGAGGGGAGCGGGTACCAACGATTGAACCCAAAGGAGCTTTACCACAGAACTACATCCCAGGTCTTTTTTAAATTTTTATTTATTTATTTATTTATTTATTGAGACAAGATCTCCACTGAGTTGCACAGGCTCTAATCCTCTTACCTCAGCCTCCAGAGTCCCTGGGATTATAGATGTGCACCACCATGCCTGGCTTTTCCTCCTATATACTTTAAATTACTTCAAGATTACTTACAATATCTAATGCAATGTAAATGCTTTGTAAATAGCTTTTATACTATATTGTTTAGGGAATAATGATGGGGGAAAKTCTGGACATGTTCAGTACAGATGCAATTTTTTTCCTAATATTTTTGATTCAAGGTTGGTTGACACCATAGATGCAGAACCCATAGTTATGGAGGGTTGGCATATAGATAGATAGATAGATAGATAGATAGATAGATAGATAGATATAGATATATAGATATATGCATGTGTGTTTCTTATGTGTGTATTTATTTTATATTTGTGTACATCTTATATGTATTTAAGAATATTGTCTTGAAAATTTAAGCCTTGCTTTCTTGGCTAAGTAAGGGCTCTAATTTTACATCAAACCTATGGATATAGATTTCAAGTAGTGGAGCCACATCTATGCATGGTATGTATGCAGTGAAAGAGGTAATAAGAAGGCTATCTACCCAATTTTAGATTTGTAATTCTGTATTCTTCCTTTTTAAAAAATCCCAAAACTGTATTTGCTTCAGCCACCATAAATCTGGATCTACCCCTTGCTATTAGACACCTAACACTGAGCTTTTTGTTTCTAAACACCATTTCCCATTAGAAGGAACCAGAGATCCTGGGAGAAGTGATTGGTTTCAGTTCCAGGGCAGGGAAAGATTAAGATCAGCCTAGGACATACTGTATATGCCAGAGAACTAGAAATTTCTCAAAAACTAATTTAGGTTGTATGATGCATACATACATATGTACATTAATGAGCTACCTTGAAGGAGCTCCCACTGCCAAATTTAGGATAATGGGACCATCATAAAGAAAAATGATAGTAATCGTTTACAATCCCCCTCCAAATATCCAGGAGTCCACGTAATGGAAATAAAGACACACCAAAAGATATTCTTTTTTGGGGGGATGGGGTACCAGGGATTGAACTCAGGGACACTTGGCTAATGAGCCATAACCCTAGCCCTACTTTGTATTTTTATTTACAGACAGGGTCTCACTGAGTTGCTTAGCATGGCTCACTTTTGCTGAGGCTGGCTTTGAACTCATAATCTCCTGCCTCCCCGCCTATCAAACTGCTAGGATTACAGACCTGTGCCACTGTGCCCAGCTGAGAAAAGCTTTATACCATCTATCAAATACAGATAAAATGATAAAACTTTAAAATAATAATTTCTGCAAGATCAGTATATTTAGTTCAAGCAAAGATCAGTAATGGGTACTAAAACTTCTGGGCAAAAGGTTATTTATTAATAGAATATTCACACTGTCTAGAATGAACCCCAATGGGATCTTAGGTTATGAAGAAAGTTGTAATAGATGTTCTGAATCAGTTGGAGAAATGTAAACAAGACAGCATAATATAATTATGATTAATTGATGTGAGTTATCTTAGGTGTGATAATGGTAGATGAAATGCTTTAGGAGATAGATGCTGAAGCTATGTATCTAGATTTGGGAAAGTAACTTTCACTTAGTCAATAACTGGTGAATCTAGTAAAGATACTTAGTAGGTTTCCATATTATTCTTACAGTTTTTCAATATGTTTAAATTTTGTTTAAAACAAAAGTTTGGGAAGACATCACCCTTTTCTCTCCTCTGATCAATGAACCTGTGAACTCACTAAATAACCCTTCATAACCATTTGTGACCCTTCTCCTTAACAAAGAGCCCCTGTCTCAGCCTTTACAACCAGTAGGTRTAAACAAGTAAAGGAAGAATTACTGTGACTAGGGAACTCAGGGATCCTGACTGACGATAAAGTGATTGTCTCCCCTTTACTTTGTACCAATGATAGAAAACAGAGAAGTGGGAACATGTGGTTAAGGGGATAATTCTATAAACCGGGCCCACTGTGCCGATCCCCACATACTTTCTGTTTTAAAAAGCAATTTACCTGCAGCCCTGTCTGACTTAAGCTGACAGAATACGTTAYATCCCTCAGCAAACAACCTTTTGTGGCAGGGAAAATGCAGGCCCCAATGCTGACAAAAAGAACACAAGGTATGAACTTGAACTTTTGTAATCTTTACACAGACCAGATCCCAGAACTCAGGAAGAGAAGGATGATTCCCCCTAACCATAAAATCTGTAATAACAAGTTCCAATTAGAACTGGTGAGCATGGGCCAAAGTGACCCAGAGTTGTCAATGGCAGTAGGGACTAGAAAATCTGATGTCATCTTGCTGCCAGTCAAAAGCCAAGATGTGGGCGGGCTGGGGTTGTGGCTCAGTGGTACAGTGCTTGCCTAGCATGTGTGAGGCACTGGGTTTGATTCTCAGCACCACATATAAATAAATAAATAAAAATAAAGGTCTATTGACAACTAAAAAATGTTAAAAAAAAAAAAAAAGTCAAGAGGTGGGTGTCTGGGTGCAGTGGCACACACCTGTAATACCAGCCACTTGGGAAGCTGAGGCAAGAGGATTATGAGTTCAAAACCAGCCTCAGCAACTTAGCAAGGCCCTAAGCAACTTAGTGAGAACTTGTGTTTAAATAA